GGACATGTGTGTCTATCCTCCTCTTCCTCTCTCCTACGGCTGGTATACCTCTTCCTCCGTTCTGGCAAGTCCAGATCGCCTACTCGAAATTGCAATTTCAGCTTTTTCGCATAGTCCATGGGGCCGTCCAAGTACTTCTTCATCCCTATCCCTTCTTTCAACTTCCCGTATATCTCCAAGTGGTCTTCGCTTCGTACCTTCTTCCGAAGGGTTGCCTCCTCCCTACTCTCTAGCATCTCCTTGACTTTCGTCTTGAACCCCCCGAACCCTTCCGTGTCCAACGTCTCCTCCTCGTCTCCTATCTCCTTCCAAACCTTCTCTACCGCCTTGTCCCATCTGATTCCCTTCTTCCCTGGAGTCGCTTTTCCCCAAGCTGCCTCGTCAACCATGGCTGGTAGTCTATCGTCCGACATTCTACTTACCTTGTACTGCCAATTCAACTTCTGCATGTCTCTCTTTGTTTTAAGAGAGTACATTCCCAATTCTGCTCTCAATACAGTGTTGCTCGTTGTACTTGAACATCCTAGTATTTTCTTGGCCGCTGCCATCTGCACCGTTTCCAGCTGCTTGACGGCCTTTTCGTTACCTTCCCATATCTCTCCTGCATACTCTAGCTTAGGTACAATCACATTCAAGAGAATACACCTCTTAATCCTAGTGTCTAGGTGTGGGTCCGTAAGGATCTCGTCCATCTTGCCTATCTGAGCTTTACTCTTCCCAATCAACTTCGCTATGTGTGCGTCCCATGAGCACTCCTTCGAAATCTCTACTCCCAGGTACGTATACTTGTCTACTACCGGTAGTTCTTCCTCCCCCCATTTCCATTTGAATTCTACGGGATTTTTCTTATCTTCGTTACAGACCACTACTGCGCATTTTCCTACGTTCGCCGACAGTCTCCATTTTCGGGTGTATCCTACCGCCGCATCTATTTGTTCTTGCAACCCTTCTGGTGTTTCGGATACCCCCACGAAATCATCTGCAAACATCAGTCCGGACACACTCTTTCCCTCTACTTGGACTCCCTGTCTTACTGCTTCAACCGCCCTTATCAAATCGTTGATGTAAATCTTAAAAGAGTGGGTGACATCGTACAGCCCTGTGCGACTCCTTGGAGTATATCCACGTACTTCGAAATTTCCCCATCTAACATCACCGCACTTCTTGTGCATTCTGTCATCTTTTTCAACATCCTCCACGTTTTCCCCCGGATGCCGATGTCCCCACATCTTTTTCCACAATCCATTGCGCCCATACGGTGTCGTAGGCTTTTTGTATATCGAGGAAGAAACAGTATGTCGTACGCCCGGCGTCTTTCCTACCTTGGATGATTTTACTCAACGTATATACATGGTCTACACAACTACGATCTGGTCTAAATCCAGCTTGTCCTTCGCTGATCTTTTGTTTCCCCTCCAACATGTCTCCCATTCTATTGTCTATCATCTTGCCAAACAGTTTCCCCACTGTGCTCAACAGGGTTATCCCTCTATAATTCCCCGGGTCAGCTTTATCCCCCTTTTTGAACAGGTTCACGACTACTCCTTCTCTCCATCTCTTCGGCGCGTACTCGTGTTTCCATATCCAGTTGAATATCCGGACCAACATGTTAATCATCCCCTCCCCCCCCTGTTTCAAAAGCTCGTTCACAATTCCATCAGCCCCTGCCGCTTTTCTATTCTTGAGTTTCGCTACGCAGTCCTCTACCTCTTCTCGTGTGAACTCTCCCTGCAACCCGTCTACATCACTACGTTCCCTCTGAGATCTTTCAACGTTTTCCTCTGCCCACGAGTTGATTTCCTTCTCAAACTCCGAGTCGAAGTTGTCATTGGTGGTGGGTGTCCCAAGTTTGCGGTAGTGCTCTACTAGTACTTCCCTCTTTCCTTTAGAACTGCTTACCATCTTACCCTCGGCAGATCTTAGTGTCGTTATTTCCGTGTCTCCCCCTCTTTTGTTGCCCACTATCCCTTGAATTCCTACCCACATTTGCTTCATCCCCCCCTCAAAATCTTCGTTAGTCTTTTGGACTACTTCCTCCCACAACCCTTTCTTCTTCTTCACGACCAACTCCTTCACCCTCTTTCTACTTTCAACATACTCCTTCCATCCTGCATCTGTTTTCCCGGCCGCATATTTTGCGTGTGACTCTCTACGTACTCGAATTGCTTGCTTGATTTCTTCGTCCCACCACTTCACTGCTCTCTTACAAACTATCAACTTTCTACCTAGAACTCTGCTTGCTGTTGTGTTTACCAGCTCTTCCCACTCTTCTATGATTCTAGACCCGGCCTGGTCCCGGCCTTCGGCATCCTTCGGTGTACCCATTGCCTCCATCAACTCCGAGAGTTTCTTGTCGTTTATAGCCATCTCTTCTTGGAACTCTACCCTCGTTTCTTCTACTTCTAGCTTATCTATTCTCCATCTGTACATTTTCCTGCGTCGCCTACTCTGTATGACTCTCTTCTGTTGTAGGGCTGTCCACACCAACGCGTGGTCTGTAGTGCCTACATCCGTTGTGCATACTCGTACTTCCGTCTCTTTCCCCCCATTCTCTACGACAATATAGTCAAGGATGGAGCGTTCTCCTTTTTTGAAACATTGCCTAGTCCATTCCGGTTCTGTCTTTCGTACTCTACCGTTCAACACCTTCATCTCGCTACTGTCAAGGAACCTCAGCATTTCTTCCCCGTTTTTGTTCGTGGCTCCCTCCCCGTATTGCCCTATGGTTCCGTGTGGGTTCGTGGTTCGCCCGATTCTTGAATTGAAGTCCCCAACTAGAACTACTTCTCCCTTTCTCTTGAAGTTTTGTACATCCGCTGCTACCTCCTCGAAACCTATCCTGATGTCTTTCACCATATTCTTCGACTCTGGTGGCATATATACATTTCCTACGAACAAGTCCTTTCTTCCCCGTTCCCCTGGTACCCTTATCCACATGCTTTCGTTGAATTTGGTGTCGCTGATCACCTCAATTATGTCGCACATGTGCTCCTTGACTAAGAATCCAACTCCCCCTCTACTCTTGATTTTCTGTCCTCTCCTCATTTTACCTATCCATGTGTAGCTTCCCACTTCTTTTCCTATTTCTCCCCCGTCCTTTTCCCACGACTCTTGGACTCCGACTATGTCCAGGTCTTTTTCGGCGGCTTGCTCGGCAATTTCGAGTCTTTTACGCTCATCTGTGGCAAATCCGCATACATTCCAAGACCCTATTCTGATTTCCTTACTCCTACTTTCGGGGGGGGGGGGGGGTGTACTCATAGTCGTGCATGCCGTAGTCGTTAGACCATTGGCCTCACAAATTTACGTGGGGGTGTATAAAGGTGTGATTTTGATGATGGCGTGAGGCATCGGCAGCGGTACATCCGTAGCGCCGTTGCCGTTGGAGGCGAGGGTGCGCGCAACGTCGGCGCGTGATGCCACGCAGAGAGAAACAACGGCGTTCGCATGCAGACACCACGGTCGCCGGATCTTGGTGCGTTCTTGTATTGTAAGTGACGCCCGCTGTTGCGTGCACCGGTTAAATTTTTTTCTCACGGCGCCAGGCGCCCCTCTGACCCTCCGCTCAAGACCATTAAGAACAGAGAAAAATCCTAAACGTGCGTGTTTTTTTTTTTTTTTTTTCGGTTTCGGCCGTCTTCATTCGTTGCCCGATTTTCTTTCCCGCCCGTTGTGCTCGTTTCGTGATGCGTATTCTTCCCGTTTTTATTTTTGGCCTGTGCGTAAGTCAATGGTAGTTGCTCGATCCTTTCACCTCTGTCCTATTTTGTGTCGCGATGCATCTTCTCCTGCTTGTGTGGCCTGTCCCATCATTTGTTCCTCGATTCTTCCACTTCTATTATGTTTCTTGTCATGATGCATCTTCGTCCTGTTGTCCATTGTTGATTCGTTCAGTGGTTGGCTAGCCGGCCTGATGGGGGAGAGGTGGTGGGAGCTACCGGGGACGGCACGAACGACGCCCCCGCCCTCAAGACCGCCGACGTGGGTCTGAGCATGGGCCTCAGCGGAACGGACGTGGCGAAGGACGCTTCCGACATTGGTGAGGGAGGCAGGGAGGAGGGTGTGCAGGGTGCAGTCAGCGTAATTGCGATGTTGAGAAATTACGGCAGTGCTTTCGCGTGTGTATGTCAATTTTAGCCAACTTTGTGATGATGTGTTGTTTTTCTTTGATATTTGTTTCACTCTGTATCCAACTCTTTTGCAGAAAACGGGACATGTTTTTTTTTTTTTGCGTCTAGTTTTTATTTCAAAATATCTGTTATATCCCTAGCGGTCGTGTTTTCGCTCTTGTGTATTTCGTGTGTGTGTGCAGTGATCATGGACGACAGGTTTTCTTCGATCGTGAAGGCCGTGCTGTGGGGCCGCTCGGTGTTCGACAACATCCGAAAGTTCCTGCAGTTCCAGCTTACCGTCAACGGTGAGGGAATCCTCTACTAAATACTCTACTACCGCTCTACTGCTGCTGTCGGTGTTGAATATCCTCCTCTTGATGTGACGTCCTCTGTTCTCAATTGTTGTGCTCTACCGCCGTGAGGACACAGCAGTAGCTACGAACGGATTGTGAGGCAGTATTTTACGTGGTATTTTATTTTTCTTGTCTGCTATTTCGTCGTCGTCGTCGTCGTTTGGTGGTGTTGTTTCTGCTGCCGCTGTTGCCTTTCCTTCTGAGGCTCTCTCATGTCTAGTAGCTATGCATGTTTACGTTTGATCTTGTCTCCCTTGGGCGCGATGCCCTACGCTACTCGTGATATTTTTGGCCTGACGTCTGAACAATGTCCCTACACGGTGGTTCAAAATTGTTTTGACCTCGCTTCAGCAGTTGGTGCTGGCTGTGGTACGGTTCTCATTTGCTCCTCGGCGCTGCCCCCCGCTTCTTTACCTTTTCCCCGGCGATATTCCTCTATCTTCTTGTCCGTGTCCACGCCCCTCCCAAACCACAGCAGCAAAAGTGATGGCACAAGCGACAATTGTTGTTCGGCGCCGTAGGTAGCAGCTGCACTAGAAATCCCCCCCCCCCGCCTCGGTGTTTGCCATCGGGGTTGGGTTTTCGTCGCTTGGCAACGACGTTGTAAAACAAGCCGCCCCCCCCGGTGTTTGCCATCGGGGTTTGGGTTTTCGTCGCTTGGCAACGACGTTGTAAAACAAGCCCCCCACTCGGTGTTTGCCATCGGGATTGGGTTTTCGTCGCTTGGCAACGACGTTGTAAAACAAGCCAATTCACTTCGTGAACTCGACAACCAGGTTACCGTTTTTTTTTTTTTACCTCGTTTTTTTTTTTTGGGGGGAACCATAATGGGGGGCGAGTAAATCATGTTGTGCGGGGGCGAGAACCCTCACTCCGCGCAACGGGGGATGATCCCCCCCCGTTGTGTTAAAATGGTCAAGCTTCCTCGAGGGAGTTACACAGTGCTTACAACTGTCTCTGGAAGTGAAAG